CGGCGATTGAATGAAAAAATGGACGATCCATCAAGGGAGAGGTAAAAGGGTTGGTTGGCCCGGGGTTTGTTAGGGATAGTTGCCTATGCCCAACTACGGGTTCCCTTTTAGCCGACCTCCCGTGAGATGGAAAAGTGGGGTGGTGGAGCACGAGAGGTGCGTCTATCCCCATGTTGAAAAGTGCGCAACGGTTTGCAATTTTGTATAGACTAGATTACGGAAACATATTCGCACGATTGAATATGATATTCTTTGTCTTAAATTTTGAAATGCTCTTTTGAAAAGGTCACTTGTAGATCCTGAACTACTTGACCTTTTTCAAAAAGTGGACTCGAGTTTACGAGGAAATTTCAAAATTTACAAGCCCTCTTTGCGTGACAAGAAATGATTCATGTTGCGTGCTCAGTGGAGCACGAGAGGTGCGTCTATCCCCATGTTGAAAAGTGCGCAACGGTCTGCAATTTTGTATAGACTAGATTACGGAAAAATATTCGCACGATTGAATATGATATTCTTTGTCTTAAATTTTGAAATCCTCTTTTGAAAAAATTTACTGTAGGCTTTAGGCCTTTGAGTTAAAAGTGCTAGAAATTTCTGTAGATTGAGACCAATCCACATTCGACTTTAATTTATTTGGATAGCTTTTGGGTCCATGCTCAAGGCATGTGCGTAAGTTATTTCCACTTCGCCCATGGCTTGTTCACTCTCCGCCAGTCGTTCCGTCAAGTACTGCATCTCGTCATCAAAAGATCATTCAGTAAGCCAAAAAGCCCATTGAGATTAAATGCATGAAGAGGTTCAAGTCCAATGGGTAAATCGTCCTTAGTCACAGCTTTTGCCATAGTCATAGTGTGATATTTATAGTTATGTTCGTGAAAGGTTTAATGGGTACCGGGTAATACTGATAATACATGATGCCCTGCCCTCCTATTCTTACACATGTCTTTGCAAAAAAATGCAATCCCTTAAGTCCTTGAGGCTTTCATAATAAAACATTTTGCGTCTTTGAGGCGTTCAACAGATTATGAATTATCAATACAACAAAATATTACATGTAAAAACAACAGCATTCTTTATCATCGTTCTGTTAGCTTCAATGGTTTTTGCGCTGCGTTGGATGTTGTTCTGGCGTGGTGGTAATCGTTTTGAAGTCGTTGAAGCGGATGAGCTTGGGGGTTCTGAGGCGCACAAAAAAATCCTTAGTGTGTTGTTGACATTAAGGAGAACACATTTTTACCGATTCTGGGGAAGGATGGCTTCTGAGGTCAAATTGGAGCTTCGCGATGATTTCCCACCTGAAAATCCGCCTCGGCAAGGTGATGATGAAGTGTCAGTTGATGGACAAGGAGCCAGCGATCTTGTTGCAGTTCGTTCCCATGATTGGTCCGGTAGCTGTTGAAGTTCAGGGTCAAAATCACGAGGCAATACAAGTAATGGTGTGATTTTGACGGGGATTTTTTTTGAAGACCTTCGGTCCCACAGCTTGTCGCTTTGTTAGAATCTCCAAGAATGGTGCGGAGGCAGTAGTGTGGGCGCGTCTCAAAAAAGAGGTAGCATTGCAGAAGCTGCGAGTGAGCCATTAAAAAGAACCCAAGGAACCTTGCAAGAAGGTAATGAGGCAAATGAGGTCTGGAAGAGGACGTTCAAATTCTGTTCGAAACAAAAGTTAAGCGGAAAATTCAGCCGCACGCCCTAGTGCAGACAATGAGGTGGCCCTCCTTGCCTTGGCCCCCAGCCGAAAAGCCCACTGAGACAGCTCACTGAGTGCCTTTGTGTTTGTTTCGTGATGCGCGAGCCATAAGCGCCGCAAGGAGTGGCAGTGCAAGCGCAAGCTGTTGGGATGAGACCAGGATTTTCCATCGATTTGGAGACCGAGCGGCCTCATGGTACGTAGTTGGATCTTAGCAGGGATTCTCATGTGCTTGCTTCATTGGGTGAGGCGATGTCAAAGTTTCTTGGAAGATGACCCCCATGTGGGCCGTTCCTCCAGCCTACAGAAACTCGTCGATGCCATGCGTAAAGTGCTCTCAACAATCCAAAAACAACGAACGTCTCGATTGAATTGAAGCAAGAAACACGTGAAGATAACCATCAACGCATACTGGAAGCAGATGGGAGGCGGGAGGTGCTTTTACATGAGCACCCGAAAGGTGCCAAAAGCTACCGAAAAAAATCGCCAGCTCAGACCCCGCTCAGCTCACTACACACACACACACAACATGTACAATCATGACAAAAAGGGGTCATGAACCGCAGCATGCAAAAACTTTTTGCAAGGATAAGCTCTCATGAATAAGACAATGCCACTGACCCTGGAGGAGTCTTGCCTGAAATTTATTCCCCAGTACTTGCAGGATTATTCGCTTGCGGATGGGAGGACGTTCACCCTTTCAGGGTATGGTCCGAATGAGCATCTACTATCGAGAATTCTTGAATGCACTTTGTGAATATGAGTGAGGTTGCTTTTCTGGAAATAAATGAGAAGTTTCAAATCCTTGGAATTCCGACCGGACCATCATAGACTAAAAAATGTTGTTTGTTACTCAGAGTTTGCTTGTTCAGGTTTCAAAATGTTCTAGGCTTCGTGAAGTGTAGGCTGGTGTTACGCTTGGGTCAGACTTTTAAGCGAACATGTGAACACTGCATGGGCCGCAACAGTGCGCGTAGAGGAAAAACATGTTCGACGTGGAAGCCTATTCTAAATTTTTGCCCGGGCCTAAGTTTGCTTCACAAGCACTGGTGTGCCGTTCATGTGCCCTCAGAAAGCCAGGTTTGTGAAGCAAGCTTATAAGTTGTAACGGGGGGACGGTGCCAGTATACAACGCGATCACATGTTCCATACCTAGTTTGAAGTCGTTGTTTGTTTTCGTGACAACTTGTATTTTGTCATGCATGCTTCAATACCATCATTTTCCCTAGCTTATCACATGTCGCCTACTCTATCCGCAGCTTGCTTAAGCTCTCAGCATTTTTGCGGAGTACCTCGTGCCTAAAAGAGTGCCTTGCTTTTGTGTACTTGGGTAAAGCGTGGGAGAGGTAGACTTGAACGTTGCCATACATACTTTGCATTCGTACCATAAGGGTGTGGTTCGAATTCGTCACGTGAACGATTTGTGTGTGGGGTTGTTGCACTTATGTTGACCACTTCGCTGCTCATGAGGCTCAAATTCATATTCCGTTGGGCAGGAGCCATGTGACCCGCAAGCAAATGGTGATGTTTGATTCATTTCTCCAGTTGTGCAGCCTGGGTTGCTCCCATCGCAGCTTGCCACAATCAATTGCGGAATGTCGTGGGCCTGCAGCCATGGAGGGGCATTTGGCTGATGCTGTAACTGAAGCCATAGAACCAATCCAGCATTTGGAGAAGGCGCCAGATTGTGGGTGAATCCCATGCGACAGCAAGGAGTCGTTTCGTCAACACTTCTGTCAGGAGTGGGAGCCTGCCAAGCTTTGCAAGAGACTCCGCCTGGTGCTGAGTAAGAGTACATTCAGTATTGCCTGATGCGTGCTGCTGATGCTTTAGTATGCTATGATGCATGTTGCGGAGCAAACCTTCTCGCCTTCTTATCAGATGGCCTGGGACCTGGGATGAGCATTGAGCTGTGAGGCGATTATTTCAAAAAAGCGGCGAAGTCTTTGGAGTTCAAGGAGAGGTGGAAGTCTCAGAATAATTCACATGCGAACATGACAGCCCTCAGCCACAAGATCTGGATTCATGCTGATCAAGTTGCATGACGTGTGAGCTTGATGGTGTTTGGAATTCGTAGTTGTCATTGTTACTGCAAGTTGTTTGCAAACAGGCCATGGACGGGGCTGGTAAACGATTATGCAGACTCTGCATTCTCGTCAATTTTCCAAGCCATCGGTGATCGGCTTGGATCCAAGACTGTTTGCACCGCGAGGACATTGAATGAATCTGACAATTCAACTCCAAGTTGGCTGGATTTGTAGGCGTTGCTGTTGTTCATAGCTGGTTTCAGAGCAGTTAAGCTTGGCAACTTAGGCAGTGGTTGGACCAAGTGGACTTCATCTTCATCCTGGATGCTGGGATCAAGGAGTTGCTGATCCAACTTAGTGTTGGACAAGTTTTTCGCTGTTTCCAGGAGTTTTTTCCGAGACACGTGCTGCGAGATGTGTGCGGCACCTTTTTGTGACAAGCATTTTTTTTTGATGAGCCGAATTGCTGGATTGGTGCTGGCACTTTCCAGGTCACAGATGGACTTGGAGAGGTCTGTCCTTGCAGCACATGACCGAGCCTTCGAGGATTGGTTCTCGAGCTTGCTTCAACGCATTCAAAAATCTGCTGAACCAGCTGTCTGGCAGGAGCAGAGGTACCTACCAAAGCTGTGGGATTGTCTCGACTCCATGGGGTTGTCTGGCAAGGCGCACAACTTTTTGCAGTTTTTTCCGTGCTGGTCCGGATTTGGGAGTGTCAGCAACCAGTGGCACAGATGAGTCAAATAGGGCTGCCTTGGATGCTGGACAGACTCGGAAGAAAGCTTACGATAGCGTTGACGAAGGGCGCAAGGCAGGCTGCCGGATTCATGCACACAGCTGGGCTTGGAAGATGCCAATGCGCATTGAAAGAGCATATCCTATTGCGCACTACAATAGCATGAACCCTTCAACAGCAATCTTCATTTGTATGTAATCTTCGTGGCTGTGTTGGGAGGTTTTGCGACTTGGCGCCAAATGTGAAGCTTGCTGTTCCTCAGGTTGCGCTGAGATATATGCGAGATCCTTCCCCTCCTGACGAGGTGAAGGTGCTGACCTTCACTTAAGTTTTTAAATTCAGTTTTTAGCTGGTTGGTTTGCCGGTGACCGGGCGACCTGCCTCAAGCCTGCAGGCATTTGTCTCACGTTGGGTCGACTCAACCGTGAAACACTTGCACAGATCCACACAGGGTGCTGCCCTCAAGAGTTTTCTTTTTGTCCACCGTAGGAGCATTGGAGACGTTTGCACAGTCGCATGCCATCGCCAGGCGATCCCACGAGCGACGGGCACTTGGGGATGGAAGATCTCATGCAGTTTGCGCAAGGCCAAGGTTTCTGATTGTCTCGAGGTCCTGGAAGAGCACCAGGCAACCGAGGTTTTCGAGCGGCTCTTGAAGGCTATGGGTCATGCGAGTCAGTGGGCAGGGGCAGTAAACTTCTGCAGGTAGGCTGGTCACTTGTTCAGAAAATGTGTTTGTGGATCATATGTAGACTTTTTGGCCGCCTTTTTTGTGGCTATCCGCGGTGTTGCATCACCCCATTGCGCAGCTTGGATATCGCAGGCGTCTGTAGACGGGTAAGACAAGGCTCCCACAAAGAACCACGATGGTGGAGTGAACTACAGTCACACAGCCTCGCGCTACAGGCAGTCCTACAAGTCAAGGTCCGACGGCAAAACACGTTTATGTTGGGATGATGGAAAAGAACATGGAAACTGCTAAAGTATCTTGGGGTTATATCGGGATAATGGAAACTCAAATGGAAACTACTAGAGTGTGTTGGGGTTACATAGGTTTATTTAAGACTTCATGACATGCTGTTTGGAGTGCAAGCTTTCGGCATGGCGCGGCTGCCTGCGCCTTCGGCGAAGCTTCAGGCTGCTAAGAATCAGCTTCCTGCGCTCTTTGAACGCGTTGAGACCTGGAGCTGCAACAGGTGAGTGCAAGGAGCAGCTGAAACACGGTGATAGCCATTGTGTAATATTCTGGAGGTGTGTTCTACATCCCTAGTGTTGCCTAAATGCCTGCTTCAGGCCCTTTTTTTGCTTGACCCTCTCAAGTAATGCAACCCACAGAAAAACATTTTCTGTGTTCAGACCATGGCCCGATAAGGCTGAGGGGTTCGAGTGTGGGCTTTGACCAGCCCAGCAGTGGGGGAACGTGCCTTGAACTGCAGATGCGCAGGCGGACACCTTGCCGTCCGGTCCTCTGCTGCTCTGGGGGTATCCCGGTGGTGTGGCAAAGTCAACACAGTGTGCGTTGTGTTGCTGACACTGAGTCCACTGAGATTGAAGTCAAAAGCTGTGGCCTATGCGGATATCTTCCCGCAGCGCAATGGCTCTCATGGTCCTTTCAACCATGACACACCTCAATTAAGACAGCCGGCATGTTCAGCAAACTGCAGATTTTGGTGTTGGCCAGTGGCCTAGCCGCTAGGCGTTTGTATCATGTGTTCAAATCTAGTTCTTCATGGGATTTTGTGGTCAGCTCAAGCCTACGATCGGTCTGCCATGCAGAGTGCCGCCACATCGGAGGGTGCACGAATCCGCCACTCTAGCAATACTGCAGAGACTCGGCAAGTTAGAGTGAATGCCTGTGTAGACTGCTGCGTACTGTTTCTTTGTTGCACTCCTGTGAATGCTAGGAACAGCTCGTCCTTGAAGGTGCGGAACCGAGAGCCTCAGAGCATGCGCCCTTTTGGCAGTCCAGTGCAAGAAGCCTCCACGGCAAAACGCTTGGAAGGCGTTGACCAGGACAAGCACTTGTGGCATGGCCGAGAGGCAGCGGCAGCAGCCCGGTGAAATCAACAAGTCACTGCTACAGCAATTTAGCTCATTCAGTCACGCTGCCGCCAAGGCAACAGTACACAACTATGCTGCTGACATGCAGGCACGTCATGTTGCGCATGCAACGGACTGTGATTTCCCGACCGTTTTGGTTTCCTTTTGTTATGTGTGGCCTCTGGAGTTTAGCCTAGATAGCTTTCTTTGGAATTTGCGCTCAGGGCACCGTGCGTGGCACTCTTGGCATGGTGCAAGGTCGGGCTGCCTTGCAACATCTTGCAACTTGCTCTTTCCAGGCACGGTATGGTTTGCTGCATTTTGCTGCAGGCGTCATCTTCCCTTGCATGGGGAACATCCTTGGAGTGATCCTCTTCCTCCGTGGACCCTGGAACCCTGCTGGCATTTCTCAAAGCCGATTTCTTGAGCATGAGCCTGTTCCTAGCATTGGACGCAAGGATCGTTGGCAAGGGAGGCATCCTTGAAGCCTTTGGCGTGGGCCTGGTTTGTTGTAGCTTGGTGAGAAACGGACAAGAGATGATAACTCATCGAGCTGGCTGGGTGCTTGCAGCAGTGCAGGCACTTGCACCTTCCTCACAACGCTGAGCCTTTCAGCTATTGCCACAAATGGAAAGATTGCTGGGGGCGGAGCTTATTACCTGACCTTTGGATGCAGAATGGAGAAAGCTCTCATGCTTTCAGAGCCTGTTGCAACTTTGTTCTGTGAAAGGATCTCGCGGTCACTGGGCCCGGCCTTGGGGGCCGGTGTGGGTCTCTGCTTCTACATGGTGCCTTGTCAAAGCTTCAGACACTGAGCTTTTGCTTCCCTAGTTTTGTGCGCTGCCTCCTACGAACACATCTCCTGCAATGATCCCGGTACTTGCCAGGCGAACTCCATTGGGGCTGCCATGTACTTCATGGGTTGCCACCTGGCTAGTCTTGCTTGGGTTGCATGAAGCCCTTCGACTCTTGTGCAGGGTTGTTTAGGGTTTAGGGTTTAGGGCTTGTGATTCACGAGGTGTAGAAGCTTGGGAGATCGCGCAGCCCCAGTACCAGCCAGCGGCCTGAATGACGACATGTCAGTGTAAAGGAGGACTCATTCATTGATTGTCCAGGATTGGGGAAATCGGCGACCTGAACAATGTGCGGATGACGGGCTACGTGATCTTGGTCTTTGCTGTCGTTATCATCTTTGGCGGGATCAAGCAGCCTGATCACGAAGGATACTTGAGTGTAGTTGTGGCAGCGCCAACCTTGTCTGCCATCAACGCAGGGTGTCCGCACTAAAGATCACCCTCTGACTTTAAGGTATGTTTCCCGACTGGGGACTGTTTTTCTTATGGTGGTCCTGCCTGGGACCTGGCAACGCGCGAGCCAAGTTGGCATCAGTGTCTGTGTGTGTAATGGCTGTTTCTAGGTTTGTCATCCTCTGCATGTACGTGGGCTGCCTGATGGGTCCAAACGATCTGCGGCCAGCCAGCTATATAGCCTCTTGGAATAACCAATAGAAAAAGACTTGCAAGAAGGTTCAGCTTGTTCAGTTGTGCGTGCTATGCCAGTTTTGAGGTAGACCTGGTCACAGCAGATGGTTCCACCGTTTCGAGAACGCTCACATGGACAGGCCGGATACGAAGCCGAGTCACGGGCCACATGCATAGGATCCGACCCAACAAAGCTTCAGCAACGTGAGGTCCATCAAGTTCCTCCTTCTCAGACAACTGGGCTTCAGCTTGGGATGCACCGCAAGGAGCTTTTCCCAAGGACACCACACAGCCACTTTGCAGATCGTTTTGGGAGTTGAAGGGATTGGACGCTCAAAAGACTTGCTTCCCAGGTACAGCTTTGTGAACATGATGGGCCTTTACTTCCCTTCCGTGACTGGCATCATGGCTGGAGCCAATCGTTCGGCGGACCTCATGGACCCCACGAGTGCCATCCCGAAAGGGACCCTTGATCGTATAGCTTGCAGCATCTGCATCCAGTGGTACGTAAGCCACAGAGAAAATGTAAGGACTCTCTTCGCTCAGCTCTCAACATCCTTCATCTACCTCTCCTTCATTTTCGTTCGGTGCCCAGAATGACCTCTCCACAGGTGCAGGCCATGCAGGCAGTGCGAGCCTTTGGGCCTTGGTGTCTGACTGTACCATGTGATTCCCCTTCATGAGATTTGGTGAGGTGTTCGGTAGTGTTGCTCCCCGAGAGACTCTACTGAACGACAAGTTTTTTGTGCCTTACCTGCAAGAAATGCCTCAATCAAGTTTCTTTGCAGGAGTGTCATAGCCGAAACAGCACAAGGCATCAACCTCGGCTTTCCCTTTCAAGGAGGCGCTTTGGGGTGCGTGTGTATGCGTGCTGAGTAACGTCTGCACATCGCGAGCCCGGCCCTTCCCTCAGAACAAGAACCTGTCCCCAACCCTGCCCACCCAGTTACAAGAGCACCGCTGGGACCCAAGTGTCAGCAAGAGACATGGAGGGCAATGTTCAGAATAGCGCGCTTTCTTGCGATTCCAATTGTTTTTCCTGTCATGCTTTGTGACCTCGATTTTGCGAATGTTTTGTGGTTGCTTGTGTGATTTCGAGCAGAAGTATGCAGTAGGCCACGATGTTTGCAGTGCTGGCATGCGCGATGCTGAAAGCAATTGGTTGAGCGGCTGTTTGTAGGGCCATAAGAATTGACTGACGACAGATGCCCAAGTTTTGGATGCAGTCCAAGATGTGAGTGTATGGGCAACGAGCTTGCTCCACGCTGTCGCAGATTGTCATCTACGGTGTTATGGCCTCCAGCTTGGGCGCGGGCTTGAACTCGCTTGTCTCAGGCCGGGCTCTAAGTTTACCTTGAAGGGAATGATCGATTGTCGGATTCTCACTGAATATGGAAGCCCTACATAATTCTTGCAATGCTTGTCCAATGTCCAGAAGGTGTAACGTATCAGATGAGACAATCCTCCCATGGCCATGCACCAAAGCAAGCTGCCTGTAGGAACCAAGCTACTCAGTGCTATTGCTGGCGATGGAACCCTGCCGATTCTCCGCATTTTTCGTGCTGTGGGGATCTCGGTTATCTGAGCAGTCTGAGCATTTGTTGCAGAGTGTGATTTTTGACACAGCCAACGGTTACCAGGCTCCTGGAAAAGAGCCCCGACTTGCGCTTCTGGCAACGGGGCGGCATGTATTGCCACCACTATGATGTGAAAAGCCCGCGGAGTTGCAGCACAGGCAAGTGGAGCCCTTTGTGCGCTGTCAATCACCATTGGTGAGTGCGGGTCTCAGCTGTGCGTATGGAAGCAAATGCTGAGGCATGCGTCAAACCAGCCCCCATTTGCATGCGCTCAGGTTGAATGCCATTGCACCACTTCTGACAATGTTCTTCCTAATGTGCCACTGCCAAAATTTGGAAACTTTTTCTTTCTTATATAATATAATATACTATAATATACTATAATATACTATAATATACTATAATATTGTTTCCCTAACTCCACTTGCAAGGTGCTACACCTGTGTGCCTCGGCAGCATGCTGCTTGTTGCCGTGCTCTGCGTTTGGAACCAACAGAAAGAAGTGCTTGTTTAAGTGGGGCTGTAAGATCTTGAAGCCGGCCAAGCAGATTAAACTCTGGATCAGCTGTTTATCTCGGAGATTCCTTTTTACAAAGTTGGAAGGTAAACATGTCCTGTACCATCCTGCACTTTGTCAGCGACCCCAATTGGCGTCCAACCTTCCGCCTCTCAGTATGCAAATAGTTTGGTGTACTTGCCATTCGTAGCTTCCAAATCCTCTGGGCTCAGGCTACCATCACTGGTCTATTTCACTGATTGCTGCTGCTCTCTGTGCCGGGGGCTGAGATTGTGGGAGACAACAACAGACCCTTGCTTTGGCAGCGCTTGTGGCTCAGCGCCATGGGAGGTCTGGATGATGTTTGCCATGGCAGCCGTTATCGCGATGGCGGTATCTCAGCAGATGAGTCTAGTTGTAAGGGCTCGGGCCAGGGAAGCCTGCAGGGCGTGCTGTTTTTTGTGGTATGGCACACAAAGTCATTTCGTAACCCCTTTAACCCATAGTATAACCCCAATCAACCCCATTATTAATGGTTGTGGTTTAGCTAAAGGGTAACAGGGGGAGCCTGGACCTTGAGGCAATCCTTTTCTGCGGCCTGATCCTCGCGTACGCTGCCTACAATTCCGCGAACACGAAGTGGGGCGATGGCTTCCAGGGCATGAAGTTCCAGCCCCTTGGCTTCCTGAATGGGTCCTGAAAGGACTGGGTTAAGGAACTTAAATTAAGTTACCATACTTAATGGGTATATATAGTAAGAATAGGGTTTCCCCAATATAGTAACTTAGATTCAATTCCTTTCCAGCAGCCCAGAGGAAGCTCTTGAGTATAAGCAGCCTAAAGCATTCTGTTCCTGTACAGAACAATGGGCTGCAGCCGAATGTAGCAGTTCTCTGGGATTTCAACTCCAAGCGCTGCCCCAACCGAGGCTGGCAAAGAACATCCTGATCAGCAGCTGGGCCCGAAATCCTTCTTGCAACTATTATGTTATCCTTCTTAAGCCCTGAACAATCCAGCTTTCATTTCAGTTTCTTTTCTTTTCCATTTGAATCTCCGTATTCGAAATGGAGAGATGCCAGGTATGGATGCCAAGCTGCACACTAAGAATTGGCGACCTCAGCTGCCACTAAACTGCATGATGCTGCAAGCTTCTGGATTTCTTTGACTGCTTGACTCCAGCTTTGATTGTCTTTTGTTGCCCAAATGGCCAAGGCTGGTCGTCACAGAGCCGAAGATGAGGCCAAAGATGGCTTAGGAAAGGCCGGCTTCTCTGGGATAAACGCTGAGTTAATTTTGGTGGCAGGCCACTCAGCTCCTCCGAGGGATCTGTCAGGGCCTCGGCCTATAGTTCAAGTTTGTCACGGAACCTCCTCATTTGAATTTTTGAAGCAGGCGCTGCTATTCCCCGACCTTGGGATTCTGAAGATCGCCTCGCAGCTCAAGAATGGTCGTGGCTTTATCGTCCTAGGCGGCATCTGTTGTGCGAAGGTGCGAGCTGTGAAGATAGCGTGGCAACCTACCTACTCAGAGCACTGCCAGGGTCCAGGGAAGCTCCTCTCGCAGGGAGGGCTCTTCCTAAGTGCGCCCCGGCTACCAAGTGATTGCATGTGAGAGTGCTACAGAGACATCAACCCAGAGCCTCAGGAGAAGATGTCGGATCAGGTTGCAGAGAGCCACTACGAGGTGAAAGAGCTTCTGAGAAAGTCACTTGGTTTGAACAGCATGTATCTGAGATGAGCTTTGAGTTGAAGATGTATTGAGGTACATGATTGATGGCTTCGGCAAGATCGTGTACTCGGAGAGAGCCATCAGCTTTGATGATCAGTGCGATTGGGAGCATCATGACGCACTGGCTGAACCCAAATTTCCTTAACACTTCCAGGAGGACTTCACCACGGCCCTTACAGACCTGGTCCAATCATCGGGCCTTGGAGCTTTTGAGCCCAATTGTGTCCTGGATACCTGGCTGCAAAAGATTCACCGCCATGCCGGCTCGTAGAGTTGAGCTGTGCGCATCTCCTACTCTGAGGCTTCCTGGCCCAAGGATGCCTTGGAGCTTGGAAGGGCTGGAGTAGAGACTCGTACAAAGCTCGCAATTCGTCTTGATTGGGATCAGCGCAAGTTGCACAGTTTTTCTGGTAGCAAGACTTCATGTGCACGGCTGTGCGGTAGTCGAGGTAAATATGGTGCAGCCTGGCCCCTGGTTTTCGGAGCGATCGCATGTTTGCCCATTGCTGGCCCTCTGAGGATTTCCGCAATTTTCCAGAAGGCCAAATCCACAAGAAGCATGAGCTCTTCCTTGCCCAAGGTCAGTCAGCTTTCTTTGCACCGACTCATCTTGACAGGTGATGATCCTGACCAAGGGGCAAGAATGGCCTGAGTTCGATGTGCCTCGGCACAAATTAGCATTACAAGCATTCGCAGCGGACTTTGTTGCCCGGAGACTGACGCACAGGGTCATGTGAGTGTCAGGACCGAAAGAATGGGACCATTGACATTTGGTGGATCGTTGGAGACGGTGGCGTCCGGTGCTTACCTGTAATTAAAGGCCTTTCGGAACAGACTTCGACATGTCTGCACGTCAACATAGATTCAGAGATCATCATCACCATGCTGCACTCCGCATCCTGTCCTACCAGTTTCCTTTGATGGAAAGTAAGGTTCTGCTGTTGCTGCCCTGCCTGCTGAAGAAGCATCGAGTTTGGTCCGGCTGTCGCATTCGTCTCTTCGTGCTTGCAGACAGGCCTATCCGGGAAGTGCACACAAACCTGGGAAAGGCGAGACGTAAAAAATGCCCCGGCCCTGCCAAGGGCTGGTGATGATGTCGATCTCATGCAGCGCGAGCTGGACATGTACCCGAGACTTGTGTAGCTTTGTGGACTTGCCTGTGCATTTGCCTTCAGAGACGCTACCTTTACAATTCCATGTCTTTGGTGGGGCAATCTAAGCCAAGTCTGAATGTGAACTCATGTTTCAAGGTACGTTCGAGACTTCCGGCTTAATGTGGAGGTCCACATCAAGGCATGCCTTAAATTGCTATACTCTCGGAAGTCTTCTAGCGCCCATCTGAGTGCGATCTCGAGAGCTCGACATTTTCGTTGAGCTCAGCTCAACAGGGTGCATCATGTCACGGAGCCGCTTCGAAGTGACAGGTTGTGGATGAAGTTGTCGAGGGTGGTATGTCACCGCGTGGCGCCAGTGCCACGGGTGTGCACCTGTTCTGCAGAAGGGATTGCTAACGATGCGGGCAGTCGTGCTTGATGTTGTACATAGGCAGTTTGGCATGGAGCAGCCGCCGGATGACACTGTGCCTAGCGAGTCTCTCTGCTGCAGAATTCGGGCTGTCTGGTCAAGCTTCCGAGCTATGAGGATTTGATTTTGCGCCTTTGCCTCTGTCGAGCAGACATGTGATTTTCAGTTCGGATCCGTGCATTGCACGAAGCACAGCTGAGGTATACTGCCCTGGAAGAAGGGATGCTGAAAGGTGAGCGGAAACAAGATCATCTGAAGGCACCAGCCAGCCCAAGCGAAACGGTACACCAGTCCTTGTAAACCCCTCCTGCAACTTCATGTTGTTTGTGTGGACTCCCGAGGCTGCAGATGAAGGAGGTTAGAAATCCACATTCCAGAAATTGTGCCCACATGGTTGTTCACTCCGAACTCAGCGCAAGTAGAAGCGCTCATGGGAAGGTGGAGCATCACGATCAGCCAATGCGTGTCACCAGCGGGCAGAGCCTGACGGACGGGCCTAGGGTTGCTGAATCTGGTAGTTTGATCACCATCGTCAATTCATGCTCTAGGGGGGCGGGAAAAGGTCTTGAAGGAATGGACAGGACTGGGATAAGAAGTCTAAATGAGGTCCCATAAGACGCCAGGTATGGCAAGATAGCATGTCAAATGCTCCAGGATACGCTGAAAACCTGGCGTGGCCGACAATTTCAGCGAGAGCGTTCTTTTGACAGCAAAGGCGCGCACCGTGCTGCAAGTAGTGAGAGGTTCCGAGTTTTGGGGTGCAGGGCGAGTCAATTGCGTGTGGGCCGCCAGCTGTTGGTGTCGCTTACCCCTTGGTCCAAGTCGTCCCCCCACGATGCACCGGAATTAACCCAACGGAATCAGAAACTCGCATAAATTCACAGATGAGGACCAGGTCGAACTACGCTTCGCTAGTCATCAGTCTTCCTATGGTTCCAGGTTCTCATTTGCGTGCTGTGGGTTGGTTTAACGCTTGCTATGCATGGCCCTGTAGTCCCAGACAGTTCCATTTTTTGCTGCCTTCAGACCAGGCAAGCGCAGCAATACTCATCCCTTAAGCCTGTTGTAGGCCGTTTTTGCTTGAGGTGCATGCCTGCAGAATCTTTCTGAGTCAGCTCAAGCTGCTTGAAATTCTGAGATACTGCAGGATGGTGTGCCCAGGGACTTCGCTTTATGCAGAATACGGCCCCCTTTCCACAGAGATAATCAGTACTTTTGGTGAATGTCCACAGCACGCCGGGAAGTTCCCCCAATCCATGTTCTACCAGACACAGCTCTCGAAGGTTTGCAATCCGCAAAAGTTGTTCAGACTGTAGGAGTCAATGCTCTCAGACTCTTGTGCGAACGCGTGTCTGGCAGAGTTGGAGTTGGAACTTGGCAGCTCAGATCCAGGCATGCTGCTTCAGGGCAAGAGATGCAGCCTTTTAGCGACCCTTAGCTTAACCACCCCCAACTCTCCTGTTTGACGTGCAGGGATGCCAAATAGATGCTGTTAGCTCCTGCTCTGGCCAGTCAGCGGTGGCTCCGGCGAGAACAGCAAAAGCATGAACTCCCACACCTGGCAGCCCGGCCAGAGCTGTCATGTGAGGGGCTTCGCTGTAAGATCTAATGGTCAAGACGCCGGCTGGGAGAGCCTTCACACAAGCTTTCTACGAATTGTCTCCACTCGCATCTCAGGTCTGCACGACACAACCTGAAGCAGTTCCCAGAGCGGTTGAAAGAGTGGAATGTGCCTCAGGCCTGAGACAGTATGTACTGTGCAAGATGCATCGAACTACGCATCCGAGCGAAATGTTGTTTGCGGATCGCAGGATATGCTGACCATGAACTCCATGACAGATCCAGGCCCTGGTGCCCAGGCAGCTGGCAAGGCTGGACCGAGCCAGTCTCTTTCAGAAGCAGTTTGCTGTGAGAAGGGAGCTGCCAAAGAAAATCTGTTACGGGCAAGCAAAGCAAGGATGTAGGAGAGTTGTCTGAGAGTTGGCGTTGAAGGCCCTAGGCCAAGTCTTGCTGCCAACCACAGGCCATGCCGTCAGTCGACCAGCTGAAGCTTGGCAATAGATCGAGTGCCTGAGTTCCTGCGCTTCACCACCCTTCATGCTTGTAAAAGCATTCAAGGCACTTCGGTGATGATCGGCAGACCTCAGACAGGCCGCTTCTTTTTTGCTTCCTCGCTGCTGCATGCTTGCTCAGAAAGATCATGAGATATCTGGTGAGAGTGAGGCAAATTCCGGCGCCCAACCACGCCAATCCGCTGGCCTCGGATATTTCTGGCAACTTCCAGCGCCAGGTCAGCGCTAACGAAGGACACAACCCTGGCTTAACTGCGTTCGTGAACAGACATGGGCATTGAACGAAAAGTTAAAAGGCAGTCGAGACATCCAGGGCCACAACTGAAGCAATTCAATCAGCATCGTGGTGCCACCTCTTCCTTCCCCTCCAAACATATCCAGCTGCCAGGAAAAAGGACCTTGTTCTTGCATGATGCAGCTTGGTTGCAGCTTCGTGCAGCTCAGTCGACAAGCAGATTCGGATGTGAGCTGAGCACAGGCGCGGCAACTGTCCGCTACGGCACCCTGTTCGCCCGAGGAGCTGTCAGCTCTCTGGGCTGCAAGTGTGACATCTGTGAGATATGTGTGATGTAGTGCTGGTGCAGTGTATTGTAGTGCGCAATGACCAAGTCGTTTGCCTCATGAACATGGCGCAAACGGCTTCTCGTTCAGGTTGTTTTGAATTACAGGTTGTGCTTCGATTCGATATGTATTATGAATAAGCAGAACATCCAGAGTTTAGAGACGTTGCTGTACTCGACGTGTTCAAGTCGTCTTAACCGGCACCTTGCTGGCTTGGGTCTAAGGTGGTGTCGGTCTTGAACAAGCTCATCTTGGAGGACGGGCTCAGCTCAGGATGCCAGTATGAGTCTCCGTATAGCCGGCTCAGCAAGCATCCGGCGACTGTCTGAACCAGGAGTCAGAGGAGTCCGACTTGGTGTGCACGAACCTTCCGGACATGTGGCTTGGACACAACACTTTGCCAGTTTTGGGTTGACGTCAGATCTGAAGCAAAAAAGGCGTCTGCATGAGCAACATGGGTAACATCGTCTTACTGAATATGTGCAGCGTGGTAGCCTTTGTCAGCCTTTGCCACGGCAGTGTTTCAAGCATCACGACAGCACGACTAAGACCACTATGACTAAGATAACAGGTGGTAAAATATGGCATGCTCTTCAATGTGACCTTGAAAAAGAAGAAGTGGAGATCACTAATGCTTGCTCCTTGGAGCTTCGCAGTAGTTGTCGTTCACCAATCGCTCGGCCTGGGTCGCCGCACCCTCACTTGGATTTCGGTCTGGATGTCATGATGCATCAATAGTTTCAGGGTTATCCGGAAGGATTCGAGCCGGCCACTTGAAAATTGCTGTGTCCATAAGGGGAGGCCGCCCATCATGTGCCTGCCAGATTCAACGTGGACATCATAGTCGCATGGTTTACAGTTCTCTTTACACTACGTTGCTTCAGGCTCTGCACCAGGATGCACAACTACAAGTATCGTTTTTCGGTCGTCGCCTGTTAGCAGCCGCCATCTGCCGGCAAAATTCTTGGTTGCTGAAGTATTGTATTTTTTTGCTCTATTGAGGTCTGGCACAGCCATGTCTCAAGCCTGCTGGCTAAGTGTGCGTTCAGCTCACGCCCTACCAAGCTCCCCCCCAAGACTCCAAGACAGTTTTAACTTTTGTCCCCATGCTAACATCTGGTGGCGCCCCCCTGATGTGGATTGCCTATTAGCCACAGGCCTCCCTCCGACAGCGCGCTGGGCCACTCGCCGTGTGACGGCTTGGGTTCTCTTTTCATGCAGAATACGGGGACCCCAACATAGACCCCCAAACACTACAATGCTTAATCTAGGGACCCCCGAAAGGGTGCCTCTGATTTTGGGAAACTTTCAAAGAAGGCAGGAGACCGCGGCTGTAGATGACTTCCCCAGCTAAGGCTACTGCCAACTTGTCGAGGCGCGGCTGACACCGTGCGTCGAAGCTTTGCGAGTCTCTTCATAGGATTGCAACAGCTACCAAGGTCTTGCAGTCAGTGGGTCTGTTTGTCATTTTTTTGGCACGAGGCCATGACTGCCAACATGAAGAGGGTGATCCTCGTCAGAGGCGAGATTCGGGTTCAGAGAAGAACATGCGCAACGGCCCGATTCGGGTTCTAGTGCTATAGTATATCCTCTATATAATCTGAATATACTACAGTAGTTTCCATTTTCTTTTCCATTATCCCCATTTATGCTTGTTTCATTTTGAATGCTGTCCTTTAGCAGCCTTTACGCCTTTGACTCTGGCGGAGCAGGTACGTCGAGTGAGGTGATCACAGCCTTCACTTAGCAACACATGCTACATATGGGGGGTTTCCAAAATTAGGTGTACCATTTTGGGGGTCCCCAGAAAAAGGACTGTAGTATATTGGGGTATAAGTTGGGGTACCCTAATTTTGGGAAACTACCAAATCAAGTCAGCTTTGCAAGGGCAGTGCAAGAATCTGAAAGCTGTTTGCATGAGCTAGTCGGCCTTTTGCCGTTGTTAAGGGGGCATGTGGCATGTGAGCTACTCTCTCGCGCACATTGCCGTCAGATTTAATTGATCTTGTCCAGTATTTCGGAAGCTGGAGCTAGCTTCGACATCACATCATAAGACCCGTCCTGTGCAAGACGAGGTTGTTTGATGATGATTCCAGAACAAAACCTTGCAGTGGGATCGTTTGAAGGTTTGCTTTTGGGCTGCGCCTCGAACAACCTCTCTTCTTTTTTGACGTGCTTGCGCTCGAAAGTGCAGCAGGCGACACGAGTTTCAGGCGGAGATAATGTCAGGGCAAGCCTGTTGGTGCGTAGGGACAGAGCCGTGCCTCGCAGAGGCTGGAGGTGCTCGCGTGAAAATATCCAAAGACTTTTGATTTAGGTGCTAGCAGCAAATTGTGGTTCTCCTGGTGAGCTGGAGACCTCTACCTGTGAGTGTCTCTTGTGTCTTTCTCGACCCTATGTGCCAAAATTCATGCTGGGCATTTTCGGCTCCGAGAGTACTCCAAACTTCACGAGGAAGCGAAGCGAAAGTGCTCAGGAAGTGGATCCCCTCCCTCGGGCTCAAAGTTGTCCAGGGCTGATCGGCCCTAACGGTGCCGTGAAGCGCTGTGAGCAGTGCGGGAAGGACAATAAAATGCTTGGAGTGAATGGAAGGGCTAGGCAGATTTTGTTTTGGTGGTGCTGAAGTCCAAGGTTACTGCCGCGCCTGTCGCAGCCTTGCTTTGCTTCAAAAAAGCTGCACGTCCGTAGCTCTGATTGCCTTTGCAGCTGCCGCAGAGACTTTGAACTGCTCTGGGCAGGAAGGGTGCATGCCGATCCCTCTGGTTGCCGAGCACGGCCGCCCGCCGGAGGAGCGCGGCATTTGCGCTCAGAGTGGGTGAGGAGGTCTGCCAACCACAGCTGACATTTATGGTAATTTCCCTAAATTAAGGTACCCCAATATAGACACCAATATATTACCCCTAATTTTGGGAACCCCCCTTATGTTGCTATGAAGACTGCTCTAGGACTGGGCATTCGTGCCCTTCGCCGTGCGTACCTCCTTTGCGGCGCGGCAGGGTTTTGCGGTCTTTTTCATTCACTAGGGTTTAGGGTTTAGGGTTTAGGGTGACTTGCCTCAAGAAACAAGAGTCCTGGGTTTGGGGTCAGACTGCGCCAGCTTTGGCTGTGTGAATGTGGAGCAAGAGAGGCTCCTTGCCGGCTTTCAGCTGTTTCAGCTTTGGCGCAAAGGCAAGGCAGCATTTCCATCCTAAGTCCTTAGCTTTGGGCGAGCTAGCCATGCATAGGTTTCACTAGCACCGAAATTACCCAGAAGGCAAGACAGCAGAATCCACGGAAACTTTCACAGCCCAACAGTAGCTTAACAGCAGTTTACTTACTGCCATGGACCCAGTTGCCGGACCTGCTTGGGCGCACCCCGCCGGACATTGGCCGCGAGCCACGGGATGCTGTAGACGTCCCAGTGGATCCAGGCCTCTGGGACAGGCTGGAACTGATAGGAGGTGGACAAGACATGTTTTGGAATTTGACCCTTGGTGATGCTTGCAGGTGCCCTCCTTCCAAGCTCCTGGAGTACTGGCTGCCAGTGCAGCGACAGCGTCGGTGCTGAAGGCAGCGGAGCGCTGCGACTCATGACTTTGTCATTTTCGTCCAGAGTCGAGGGACCCATATATTTGACAACTACTCACCCACAAATTAGGGCTACCCTCGTGCATAGGCCCGGCGGTTGCGCGCAGTGGCTGCTCCATTGGAGGACGACGGAACGTGCAGACATATTGCTGTGACGTTAAGTTTCAGCGTTTCTTGTTTGCGACAGCTCGTGGATGGGCTGAAAACATCATTGAATTGTATCCTCAGCACCCTGTCGCTGCAGGATTGGATCACAGGGGAGTTTACTTATCTTGACTGTATTCGTTAGCTCACCTGACATCACCTGACTGTAGGCGGCCAAAGGAGTCAAAGCTAGCAAGACTCCACATTTGTGGCATTTGTGTGGCAGAGCGCAGAGCACTGCAAGGCGCCGCCAGCTCCTGTAGCTCCACCTGAGGAAGGCAACAAAGGCAACACGAGAATCGTATTCTGTAACAAAGTGGCATCCTTCGGTGGCCAGGCGCGGATGAGAGCCTGGCTGCCAAGGCCAAGGACATGTCCCAAATTGAACATCTTACGCCTTACGCGGCCGTTTCCGGAGCCTGGAAGGTGAGGGGCGACTTCCCAGCGTTGAGCACCGAGGCTTATCCAGGAGTGATGCGCTCAGCCGCAACTGGAAGAACAAGTTCTGAAGATCTCACCTTTGCTGCCATCGCCGTGCCCCCTCCAGCCAAGACGACAACAACATCAAAATCATGGGGTGTGGCAATTCATGAAAGAAACCTGTTGAATCCTGTTGACATGTACAACTCTACAAGCACATATCAAATGCTTTATCAAGCCTGTGTGCGCCCATCGTTACAGCCGTGTATAACCAGCTTCAAATGCATCCAGCCTGCATGAACCACTGGTCTACCTTCATACAGCCTTTTAAGCCTTTGCGGTGTTTGTGAGCATCGTAAATGCGGCCACCTGATTCGCACAATGATCAGCCGTACATATCTCATCATATCTCTAGACGCTTTAGGACAATTGTCGTCGCGCAGCGATCCATGAATTCTGCAGGGTGATTGCCTTCCGATTGAAACTGCTCAGCGTGGAGGGAGCTCGATTCAAGAATCCCGCAGGTTGTAGTTGGCCAAGGTTCCATTGATCTATCTGGATTCCGGGGCAGGAGCCTCAGGTACTGTAAACAATAATAACATATTAAGGAATATCATAAAAGAAGAAAGAGATTCTGACCTATTCTGACCCGGTCGGGAGCAGCCTGATCCGCATCTGTGAGGCCACATCTCAGAAGCCGACCTGCGTTCTAAGGGCGTTGACTGAGTACTATGATGCTTGGTACAGCTTGGTATTTTGGATTATTTTGAGCCATTTTTTGAGGCATGCGCAGCTACTGCTTGATGCTCTATCACAACTCAGGAACATTCTGCCAACGTCCACAGGGGTGCCTATGCGCTGGCCGAGAGGGCCACGGAGGTGCACAGGCTAACTTAATCGTGCAGCTGGCTATTGATGTCATGGTTTTCCAAGACCTAGACTGGGTAGTTCTGTCCTATTCCTGAAGAGGCCTTCGAGCATGCGCGCAGCTCTGTGGCCACACTGATCGGGGCCGGCAGCGCGCAAGAGACGCTTTGAAAGCAATGACAGGCCTTTGAAGTGAGCAGCCGGCAAGAATTGTTGGCGAATCAGAGATGTGGGATGTGTTTGTGCTCCAAGGATTGTGTTCACCAGTGGCGCCACGGATGCCATCAACCTGGTCGCTGAGAGCTGGGGAAGTCAGAACCTGGGCCCTGGAGACGAGGTTCTCATCACAGCCGGGGGCCAATTCGTTAAAACAGTTGCACCCAGCTGCTCAGTGAGCAGCCTGCAAAATGGTGCTTGACCTTCTGAGTCATTTGAACTTCACATTCTGTTTCTCAGATGTCTGAGGTCATGGAACATCACTCCAACATTGTTCCCTGGCAGTTGCTCGACCGCCTTGACTGCAAGTACATTCGTCCGAGCGAGTCATTTGTGCATTTGTCCCGGCCCACGTGTGACATGCCATCGATATGAGGCTTGCAACGCAGAGGACTGGAGCAACGTTGAAGTATGTGGGCATTACCGAGGAGGCCTGAGGCATTCGGAGGGTTAGGATGAGCATGCAACAACCCCTGCAGCCAGGGCACTCTTGACATGGAAGAGTTTCACCGCTTGCTGAGCCCACAGACGAAGTCCTTTGGCCGATGTTGACAATGCTGTTTCATGTTTGTTTCATTTCTCTCAGCTGAGCCGATCTCGTGGCGTCGATGCAGGATGGTGGCTTTTGTCCACATCTCAAACACTCTGGGCTGCATCAATCCAGCCGCTCGACCGCGGGTCGTGGTTCTCTGGCGTTTCTGAAAAACTGCAGCTCAGCCTGAAGGTTAAGGAGATCGCAGAAGCTGCACATGCCGTGGGTTCCAAGGCCTTAAAATGCTGGCGGTTTGAACGTCACGCAGGGCACCAGATTCTGACAGGTCCTTCTGGATGCGTGCCAGTCCGTCCCGCACCTGAAGATCGAAGCTTGGCAGAGTCGTGGCATGCGCAACACCCCAGGGGCCAATCAAAAGTCCAGATTCGCTTGCCTAGTGCACTGCATCCCCGATGTAGTGGCGAGCCTTGATTCAGTAGGCCAAGGGATGTCCGTCTATGTACACAGCGGGCGGGGGGGCTTCAGATGCAAGATCGCCAGGATATGTGTGCAAAGTAATGCTTCAGACAGCATAGCCATGAGTTTTTTCTACGACTAGCTCGGAAAACTCCTGACGATTGAAGCTTGTCTAAAGCGAGCGCCCAAGGCCGAATCCCTCAAGATAATCTAATGACGCACCTTTTTAAATCTATATAAAAGCGAATGGACGTCAGTGCGGGGTAGTTGCATCGTGACGCTTCAGGACGTGCAAGATCTCGGTATCGATTTTCTCGTTGCTTCCAGCACCTTGTCCGTCAAGATGAGTTAGATTTCATTCAGGAGTATGTGATGGTAGAGCAGCTACAGCATGTGCCAGAACTCTGAGCGGCATTTTGCCTGGCTTTTCCTGTTCGCAGGTCATAAGATGTATGGACCGACTGGTGTTGGATTCCTGTGGGGTCGGCCAGAGATCCTTGAGGCCAGCCAGTGGCGACGCGAAGCAGAAAGACTTTCAACTTCGCAATCTCATGCGTTTGCGTCGCATGAAGATCATGTGCCCTTGCCGGATCAACTGTGCTAGTGTGTGATTCAGATTCGTAACTTGGCTGATTTGCTTATCTCAGGCTACTGCTATCTCTGTGATACGCATGTGCCATTGTTTGCATTGGACTGCGGAGCAGAAGTCCAGCCATAAACCACACGCTTTGTAATTGGCTTTTTGTCTTTCTCTTTCTGCAAACGGTATGCCGTAAGCATGCAGGCCATGCCTCCCTGGAAGGGCGGAGGGGAGATGATCAAAGAGGTTCACATGGACCGGACTGTGAGATGCTTTTCGACAGATGTGCTTGTGCAGTTGCGTGAAAAGGTTCTTCTCAGTCTCAGTCGTTTGCTGCAGGATATGTCATTCTATGCAGATGTGCCAGCACGCTTTGAGGCCACTGGGTTCGTGAAATCCAGATGGCACAATGCGCCAGTGCTCATGGAAGCATCTCTGCACGTGCCAGGCAGGAACTCCGCCCATTGCACAGGCTGTCGGTTTGGGCAGGGGCCTGAGTGCAAGACTGGCTTACCTCATCCAAGAATGTGTCGGCGTTGCTGTCACCTTTGAGCTGGCGATCCTGGCAGCTGTTTTGGTGGGCCCTTGCATGAGTGCCCTTGGAGTCTTCTTGCTATTGGAATGTCTTTGACAAGCTGAAGCAAGGTGTTGCCTGCGACTACCTTTTGGAGCTTGGCATGGACAAAGTTGAGGCGCTTGAAGCCACTGTCAGGCTCATGAGCTTGGCCCAAGTTTTGGAGGCTTACGAGCAGAGCTTGGCGCGTTACTTGTGGGAGGCCTTGCCCAATGTTTTTTTTTGGATGGCCAAAAAAACATTCTTTGCTGTCATGCTATGGCTATGGTCACTATCAGTCTAGACTGCAACTCTGACCGCAGTCGTTGTCGGCTGTTCCTGGACTGCGGCTGTACGGACCTCCAGCACGAAGCTCAACTTCCCATGCCCAGGAGTGATCAGAGCCTTATTGCTGTTACCTTTGTTCCTATTATTCCTATTATTACTATTGCCACTATGGTTAATTTTCGTTTTATTATCAACATTACCAAGACTATTGTGATTCCTATTACTGCTATGACCAAGGCGTCAGCTGGCCGAGCCGCCCTGGTAGCCTTCAACGACACGTCCAGGGCTGATGAGAGGGCTAACTCCAGCCGCCGGCATTTTGCGAAGTGACGGAAGCCGTTTGCCGGAGTGTGGCTGAGGGAGCCTGACATCTACCCCCAGGAGTTTGAGTTGAGTTTGCTGCATGAGCCCTCGGTTCCTTGGTGCAGCAACAAAAGGCGTTTGCCTTGCCAGGACGTGGCAGGAGTCCTTGATGTGGATGGCGTAGCTATCCGCGCTGGGCATCACTGTGCACAGCCACTTCACAGGCCTGATTCGAAGCTCAGAAAGAGATGATGCAACATGTAAACCGGCCATCAGACTGCAAACGTTCGGCCATGTTGCCAGGGCGCTGGAGGCTACGTATGGATCAGCAAGAGTAAGTTGTGCCTTCTACAACACGAAGCAGGAGATCGACAAGTTTCTCGACGGCACAGGTCATCTCGGGGTCCGCTCACTCTGCCTTCTGCTCAGGTTCGTGAAATCCTTGACAGAGGCTCTCGAGACTGTAAGGCCAGGGGTGTGCGATTCTTTTTCTTGCGTAACTCCTGGGATTCTCTTCAAGCACTGATGCCAGGGCCGGCGAGGGTTGCGTTTTTGACCCAGATGACCCAGAATCCTGCAACTGCTCGAGTGGGAGGACCGTCGGCTTGGAGTGGACTGCTAGGACCCTGAATCCCAAGCTCCACTGGCTAGTGACATTTGTTATCATTTGCTTAGTCATTAGAGCGCAACATACTGCATGGAAGCAAAAGCCTCAATGGTGACGGCAGCCGCCAGCGGGCACATGAGATGCGTCTTTTTTGAAGTGTATGTAAATTCAGCTTTCCTGCGTGTTGGGCGTATGGTCGAAGTTATCCTCCACTGCTTTGTTCTCTTATCGGGGCCTTTGAGACGATGTGGCAGGCTGCGCCAGCAAGCAATAACAGCAGGCGGCGTACGAGCACCAAACATGGCCATGACCTGACGCGTGGCGTTGTGTATTGCAGCGCACGTCGCGCGTTCCTGCATCTTGCAGCAGTTTCAGTTTAAGGTTGGCTATCGTGTTTCTTTTTTTCCTTTGAGACTAGCATGGAACCCTGGAGGATGCGATCCTGATGACGGCAGACTTCCTCCGTTTCAGAGTGGAAAGATCGGGTGGTCTGGCAGTCTGGATTTGCGGTCTGGATCTTCAGTGGATTGCTTTGCGTACATAAGATTTGAAGCACAAGTGTCACTCGTATTCCGACTGGATGCGTCCGAGACTTTGTACACAGACGTCTTTACACAGACGTCCTTCAGCAGATGAATGTCTGCGACACCACGGCCAGACAATGCGCTGAGCTGGTAAGTTCCAGAAGTTACCAAATGTCCTATGGAGGCCTTGTGCGCAAATCCTCCCCTTGCTGTTGATGCTTCTTTAAGTCTCTACTTAGCTGTCCTTACATTTCTCGCGTCCGAACAACAGCAAGGCGCAAGATCTGCACAGAAACTCCATGCTGCAGGCCCTGCATGTTGCAGAGGCAAGCTAATCTGATAGCAGGTTAGAAAAGTTTTAGAACATTCTGGGCCATCGCCAGGCACGACAGAAGCTGTTTACGTTGATCGGTTGGAGCACGTAGAACTATTCGGAAGCAGAAGCACTCGAACGGCTGTACTGTTGATGCTGACATGCTCAGAACCTCAAAGGAGGTGAGATGGCTGAATGGTGCGAATGGTGCGAATGCAGCTAGCAGTGGCCTTGGTCTATCCGGCTTGGATTACCGCGCTGGCACAGGCATGTGAGGTGCAATGGTCTGCACTGTGGCCACACCCTTTCCGAGTTCAACGAACTTGTACATCAAGCAGCCATCGAATCGCCCAGCATTGTGGGGTTACCTGTACAGTGCCTCCTCAACGCACCCGTGCAACGTTGAAAGACTGAGGTCGCAACGTTGTGTGGGCAATGCAGCTCTTCAAGCTGAGTGGCAGTCGAAAAAGTGTCACACGAGCATAGCTGCTATGGCTGCCACAAGCCATAGCCTTGCAGAGCCTTGCAGCTTCAACCTCGACCCGAGAGGCCTACACGCAGATCACGCAGCGTCGCCCTCGCGAGCCGCGTGAGGCTTGCAAGATGGCAAAGGTGCCTTGAAAGATTTGCTTAGCTTGGCAGGCCAGGGCCATGGAAGTTCCACCAGAACCAGAGACCAGATCACAGGCAAGTCAGCAAGATGATTTGTGCTTTCAGATCTTTCTCTTTGCTAGGGTTGCGATGAGCCTGGCAACAGAAGCACGTCACCCTTTCGCAGGCATACTCCGATCCGCCTCCGGCGCATCGGGGTAGGGAGCCCAGCAGCTGGTGGTCTGCCACATGCAAGTCTGTCCATGCTTGGGTAACCGCTGGACATGACATGGCTGTGGCATGGAAACACAGAAACACATGAACCTCGCGCATGCCAGGCTTGAAAGAGGATCCATCAAAGGAGCTCCAAAGTGCGAGCGAACCTCTAGCGATGGTGGCAGGCTTGGATCAGTTTGCTTCTGAATCTTCCATCTCTGTGCCTCCATGCCAGGGCTCAAAGACGAAAGCTCAAAGCCAGAGCCGCGTGGTGGGAAGCTAAGTGATGCAGTTTATGCAGAAGAGGCTCGCTTTTTGTTGAAATTGCACTGAGGCTCGGAAAACATGACCCACCTCGCATTGCCAGGCTCGAGCCAATGTGTCACGCAAGCTGCTGAATGTGTCACGCAAGCTGCTGAAGTCCTTGTTGCAGAGCGCCAGGTGCACAGGGTCCGTTGGCCCTGCAGGTCGTTAAAGAGGTGCAGCCGTCTGCAGACGGGGTTGTAGCCAACAAGTCTGTGTGGTCATGTTGCACCTTGGCCACGACATGCTATGGCAGCTATGGCTCCGCATGGTCTCCATGGTTGAGTTTGCAAGTGTATCTTGCCGTAATCAGCGGAGGAGATTGACGGCAAAGAGCCTACTGCCGCTGCGGTGTCACCTTGTTGCAACGGAGAGGTGTAAACCAATTCAGATCATCGCGCAGCAGCTAAAGATATGCTAGTTGTTTTTTGTGGCTCAGGCATGCTCTTGTTCCAGCAGCTTCGGTTGGACCAGGCTGCCATCCACATCTGTACGTTGAGCTTATGTAAGACCGTTTCTACTACGTGAGTTCAAGTTTCGTGCGCAGGAGCATGAATTAACATGTTCTCTCAGCTGTCGAAGGCGAAGACCGTCAAGGTTCAACCCGAGCCAGCCGCGTGAAAGTGATTCCCCCCAAGCCAGGGTCTCAGGAATCTCAGTCGATGACTGCTTGACGTGCTCAAGTTCGACATTTCCATTTCTGGAACTTACTCCTCTACCCTTGAAGAGTTAAGGTTCGGAGCACTCCCAGCACCGATGCTTCTCTCACAACTGGATTCAAAGCAGAGCGTGCAGGGCTTCCCCGATGCCCCCGGTTTCCGGAAGGCAGGACCATCCCCGCGCCCGGAAATGGCAGCGATGCCACCGATGCCACCGCTGGGAATGCCACCCATGCAGCTGAGTGAAGCCTTGGGGCCCATCTTCGCCAAACAGCGAGCTATGCCAGCAGTGCCAGCAGTGCCAGCGCCAGGAGGCCAGGACCTCAGGCTGGATCTTCCTACAGTACCCGGACTTCCTCACGTTCTTCTTTTCGTTAGGACCTCTTCGCCCAGAGATGCTTCCACCACGGAGGCCTCAGCTTCTTTTTCGCTGCGCAGATGTTGTAGTTTATGGTAGGTTCTGGCTCATCCGTTTGCTTGTACCGTTGCAACCGAGGCCCCCCGCAAAACCAGGCCGGCAATGAGTTCTATGCGCAGAACAATCACGTCGGTGAGCTTTAGGATGTATTGCTGAAATTCTTATTACTATTATTACCACTATTGTTTCTTGCTTTTAGTCTTACTACTATTATGGCTATCATTATCACTATTACTATGATTACTGTTATTACCATTAATATTACTACTGTTATACTTATTATTCTTATTATAACTACTGTTATTCCTATTATTGTTTGCTTTTACTATTTTATTAGCATGTTGCACTGCATGAGCAGGTCAGCCAGGCTTGGAACCCAAGCTGGAGACCTTGGAGCCTGCTTGGTTGCAGCCTCAAAGCATGTCAACGCCAAAAGCCTCATAGCAACACTAACATTCGTACTAATAGTAATTATGGTTTATAACAGTAGTAATAGCAACGAAATAACAGTAACAACGCTAATGATTCATGATGTTTTGAAATGGTAATAATAGAAATATATAGTAATAGTACTAATAATAATCTAAATCTGAATAATTGTAGGAATCCTAAGAATAGAGCCCTTGAGGGCAGGCTCCTTTCAGAAAACTTGAGGCAGCCTTCTTTCGGAGTGGCTGAGCTAGTCCCAGGCTGGGTTCTAGTGCTTGCGAGAGTTCTAGCTGCAAACAGTGGGCTTTGGGAGCTGGGCGGAGCATTTCAGCTGAGGAGCTAGAGGGTTGAGGGAGTCGGGGAGCTGGGGAATCAGAGAGGTGAGTCGAGTTGGAGACGGCTTCAGGTGCGCTTCAACAACGCCTGTGCAGATAGGGAGTTGCGTCAGGTTGTCCTGTCAAGACGCAGTCGGATGAGCTCTGGGGCTTTGAAGAGCAGCTTAGTGTGCATATACTGTACTGTGCTCGAAGCACGGCGACCGAGCGGGGATCCTGAAATCTGCGCTGAGGCACGATCCTCCTCGAGGCCGGGCCGCCGCATTTGTTGGTCCAAGCTGCACGAAACATAGGTTCCCTGGCCATTCTGAACTGTCTGTTGAGCCTGGGTATACATAGCACTTTAACGTTAAGGGTGGCAGTGTGCAGATTTTGGATAGGAGTGCCAACTAGCCGAAGCTTGCACTCTCCATGCTCAGTCCCGTGCCACTTTGTCAAATCCTCATCCGTGACTCTCGAACACAGCAAGACTCTGCACAAAGACGTGCATTTCTTCCACTGTCTCTTACTGCACATGCGCGAGCCTGTCTGCTGTGCAAGTTCAACCGATTTGATGTTGCGACTGCAGTCAGGCGAAGTGGTCAAAAGGCCTGCTTGCACTTACTTCTTGTGTCACCGACCGCTCAGCATGTGCAGGTTTCTTGTCATGACTTTTCCAGAGCTGAAACTCAGCAGCCTGCTTCAGGCCTCCGCCCAATGTGCCGGAGGAGACAGGACGAACGCCCGTCGTTCGACCGCGCTGGTGGTAAAATGTGAGTTCAGCAGCCGTGCTTACCGTTGATTCTAGTCGATTCTAGTCGACTTCAGCTGCCCTGCCAAGATTCATATCGCAGCTTGTCACGTGCTGAACTTGAGTGATTTTGCCATCGCCGTTCAGCCCTGGAGCCCATGAACAGAACTTTCTGGTAACTAAGCATGCCATCAGTCAAGCAGCATGGCTTGGAGCAAGATTTCTCAGGTGTTGCAGACCATAGAAGCCTCTAAGTAATCCACTTATACAAGGCCCGTGGAATGCACTCGGGCACGTCTACAGCCAGCAGCTTATCAATGCTGACGCAGTCCCACCTCGGCTGTGCAACACACAAACGGCCCTGCTTGCTGCAATAGCCCCTGACTGAAGTGGAGCCGCTAGAAGCCTTGTCCGCCTGTGCCTTAGTATGGCATCTCAGTCACGCTTGATCATTTAATGGCTGTCGCCACTTCCACCGACCCCGCGAATCCTCTGGGGCGGATCAGCCAGGTGGAGCACGAGTTGTCATGCATGCGTGAGGATGGCCTTTGGCTCATGCGCTGTTGCAGCAGGTAAATTCTTGTGCCCTTTGGGTTTCATGCGCCCGTTCATTGTTGACTGTCAGTGCACCTGTCGTGTAGGGAGTCTAGCAGCACATGTGGCAGGTTTCTGGCGTAAGGTGGTGCAGGATGGACAGCGGAGGCTGGGGTTTGGCATGCGGAATTTCCTGCGAAATTGAAGCAAGGAGAAAAAAAGGCTTGGCCTGCGAATGCTGCACCTCCAGAAAAGGTGGAAGTCCGCCTGCAAGGCTCCCTTGAAGGCTCCTGGAATCTCGCGGAGCCATGCTGGGCAGAAGGCGGAAAGTTGACGAGAGGGCCCTTGAAAAGACCCGGAAGGCGTGAGGGGGGGACAGGATGGTCCCCTAGCAAGCAGAAGGCAGAAAATTATGCGATTTGGGGGCTGGGAGACGGGCGGATTGCTGAACATGGAGGATAGCGGATATGGCTTTACAGGGCGCCGCGCCCAGCACAGGGTGGGTGGATGATCGATGTGCAGCAGGCTTGACCAAGAAACGGCTCTTGGACGATCAGGCCTATCATGCCGATTACTGCATCAGAGCTGACATCGAAGGCCCGTCTCAAGCCAACTGGATTCGTTACGATTTGTTTGCGTTCGCGCCAAAAGTTGTCCACAACTGCACAACTACAGTGCATGGCACATTGACTTTGGCTGATCAGTCAGGAGAGCGCAACAGGAGCATCTTCCGCCTTCCTGTACACACGGATTGTCATGCCGGCCTTGTAGTACTTCAAGACTTCAAAGAATTGCATCGTCTGAAATTCAGCTGCGAGACGTCTTTCTATGTGTGTTGGCAATCTGTTCATCGGGATCCCAAGCAGACAAGTCTTAGCTGAGCATCAGCGGTGAGGCTGTATCGTACGGAAGTGTACTTGGGGGAGGATGCTGTCCTGTTCCCTAGCATCATGATCGTGGCACTAGCTACGCCTGTCTCTACTTGAACTCTCTCGTGTCGTTGGAGGCAGCTATGCTGAACAGCGTGGAGCTCCTTGGCGGGGAGGGCAAGGGGAGGGACAAATTGTGAATGTGAGCTATAGTCTAAACTCCTTAAAAGGGTGTTATATAGGGGATGATACAGGGGACTACTATAGGGGTTACTAAGGGGGATACTAGGAGTTTAGACTATAGCTCATGTGGCCTTTCGTTTCCAGCTTCGGTCAGGCTGTGACATGCTGTCCCTTTGGATCTGAGGACAGATGATCGGAGAGCCGGGCCTGATCTCCACTTGCTGCAGGCTGCTGCGCATGCTGCCCGTGCTGTGCGTCCTGCGCGTGCCGCGGATGCTACTGACATTGTACCGTGCAAGCCCATTGCCTGCCCAACTTGATGCAGGCGATTGGGCACCTTTGCCTTCATCTGGAGTGCGATGCAGCAAAAGTTGCTTCTGCTTTGGGCCTCAGCCGGATGCCCAGATGGTTCCCGGATGCATAGATGAGTAGCGTCTGAAACAAGCTCTGCATGTAGACACGACCTAAAGGCCTTAGAAGACTCACCACAGCTCCGCCGCGAGACCTGGAGGACTCCTCCGTCAGTGTCGCGTTTCAAGTTTGTCCTTGTTCCTGACGTGTCAGGACTTTGCACACAAGGCCGCAAAGATTTGCGTGGTCATCATTCAGAAGCTGCTTTATTTGCCAGCGTTTGGAACTTAATTTCCTACTTGTAGGGCAAGAAGGTGAGAAATACGAAGAGCCACTGCTTCCCTTTACCCACGATTTTCATTGCTTGCGGCAGTGGTGCAGTCAACGGAAGGTGAATCTTAAGGCAGAGCTTCCAGTGTCGCGCTTCCAAAATATTTTCACGAGCTCGATGTCGGAGCGGGAAGGTGTTGGCTGGCTTCTACTCCGACGACTGACCAGTAGCAATGTGCTGTTAGCGTTCGAGCACTTTCTGAAGACGGGGCCTGATCAGACTGACACGGCTTCCTGATGACAGTTCAGGGAAGCCAAATTCGGAATTCGCAGATGCGGAAGCATTCCCTACTGATTGTTTGTTTCTGCCACCTCTGGCCATATACTGTCTGATTACATTCTTGAAGCAGTTGTCCCAGCCCAATTTCCCAACTAAGCGTGGCTGAGAGCACCGTCGCTTCATTGGATTTGCACAGGTGCAGGAAGAAATGAGAGTAGGATTGGAATCAGGGTTGCTGTGTGGGACTCGGCAACAGCATCAGCCGTACCATGTAGTCAGGAAGCGCATGAGACCGTTGACGGTCCAAGCCCTAGGCGTGCCTCCGCGGAATCGTAGATTTCGTCTCTTCTGCTGCCCAGATTCTCCGACAGAGCTTTCTCCCAAGTCTCAGCTATGAGGTAGGACCTTTACCTAGCACTGGCCCAGCACCTTGCCTCGAGTAGCCCTCGAAACTCATGGACGAAATTTACATTTGTTCAAGACCTGTAAGCCTTGCGGCTTTCAACTCCACGCCATGCCTGGGCGACGCGGGTCTGACCCAGCTGCACCAGCTCCACCCGGTGCTGCTGCGAGCGGGGCACCCAGAGAGTTTAATGTGCAGCCAACGTGCAGTCAGCGACTGGGATCGACCGGGCATCAGGTGGCTTTGACCGTTACTTGCCCGGACAACCAGTTTTGGTCTACAGCAATTCTGTGGGGACCTGGGCTGCTTGGCAAGCAGATGGGCCTTCTCCACCCTGACAACACTTCCAGCATCTTCCAGCATTTCCAGCGCAGAGATGAGATTGGAAGCCCGGCTCAGGTCCGTGGCACCATTGCAGAGACGCTTAGAAGCAGCCAGGTTACTGTGAGAATACCGTTTTTGGTGTTTGGAGCACTTGGAGCTGAGATCTGAGCCCGAGGATCTTCGAGCAAGCCTGCGTGGCAGATGGCTACTCCATGCCAGCTGGGTGCATCAAGGTCATGCTTGAGAATGAGAGCGTCAAGTATGCCACTTGCTTGCGACGCCTGTAGACGCACTAGGAGAGCATCGCATCATATCGCATCCTTGCGCATCTCAGGTTCAACCTGAGCAGGCAGCCGCAGTACTTCGGCCTGCTGAAGGCAACGGCAACGAGGACCAAAGGCGACTCTTTGTCAGAATTTGTCCTACCATCTCCAGTGCCCAGATCTGCCGCAACCGGCGCCGGCGCCGGCGCCTGCATCGAGCCTGGAGCGGCCCCTTCCTCGGCCCGATGCCCGGCGAACTGCGTCTTTCCAACGCTTCAGTTCTCGCCGCGATCGCGATGTAGCAGAATGTAGCAAGTCTATGATTTTCTATGACTATGATACCATGGACCGCACTCTGCTCGTCTGCTGTGCCGTGAGGTCAGCACAGGATCACAGCAACCCCGCGCCGACAGGTGCGAGCAGGGTGTGAGGGTGTGTCGAGTCTATTGTGCCCATGAACTAGAAGCTGTCCGTGCTCGCAAGACATTGCAAGATAAAGCTGACAGTTTGGGCCAAAATAAACTTTTGCCCTCTGCAAGGCCGGGCAGATGCAGGTGCTGCGAGGCTGGAGGCCCGGGATCGTCGGGCACTTACAGTTATCCAAGGAACTGTTTGTGTTCAGAGTTCCGCTTAGAATCTCAGAGGCTCCGAGCAAAAGGCTCAGAAGTTTGAACTAGTGGATTGGGGTTGGTCCTGCGTGGGAGCCAGGAAAAGATGTGCTCAGCTCATTCTCGAGCTTGAGGTTGGAACACCTACGAAATCCGCCTGCAGGACTCCGATAGGATGCAACAGAAGCTGACTGATGGCGATGACACAACTTATTTATCGGTCTAGGGAGGCCAGCCCAATTCGGTTTGAGATACTGACCTGTATTTTGAGCAGATATATCCGACATATTTGTGGTCTGTGGGGAGACAAAGCATCCAGCTTTTGGCCTGCCCGGCGCGCTTTGCTATCCTTTGCCAGGAGATTTTCATGGAGTATGACAAAGACAACTCTGGAGCGCATCCCCGAGTTGCCATTTCCAGGTGCCAGGTTTCCCGCTGCGGTTGAAAGGCACAAGTAGATGCAACGGTTTCAAGACACTTCTGTCCTGGGAAGAAATCCTTTTAACGCCTTGTCCAAGGCCTTGGAGGTCGAGGAGTTCCGTGCGCTGCTACGAGACTTCAATGAAGGCCTCCTCCGGCCCCCGTGTCCTCACAGCTGGCATCCATGGTATCCATCCGCCTCTCCGCCTCCAGGCCGCGAGCCCACGGAAGAGGAGCCTGGGCCCTCGTCGATCATTTGAAAATGATTCATGCCTTGATATTACGATGTCTGATGCTCAAAGACTCAAAGACCTTCAGGCATGCTTTCATGATGAAGTTGTCCGACAAGGCCCCATGTAATCTACTGGCCAAGTTGGTGTTCAAGACGCTGTGGGTATTACGTGTCCACAGGATGGCGACGGCCGGATCAGCTTGGGAGAGTTGCCTGGCTAAACAACATTTGCGGTCAGACTTAAAGAGTATATGAGTAGAACTACCGATGAGTCTGGGAATCGGAGCCCAAGGTTGCACTACGCACTGCGTGCCTGGCACAGCTATCGCCACATGGATGTCAGACTCTGAGGTGGTTACCAGTCCTTGCCTCCTTGCAGACTCTGGATGTCGTCCATGTCTCTGCCAGCCATTGCCGGCTCAAGGGGGTAAGCGCTACCTGAAACGAATTGTAGAGATGATCCGCGCCACCTTTTCAGAGTCGGAGTCACGCTATTTGAGACCTGGATTGCATTCAGAATTGAGTTTTGTGCGTCGGACGGTTTGCAAGCATTGCCCCGAGGATGTGGCTGGTCCTGTCCATGGCCGTTTGCTATACGGTTTCATTTTGCGTGCAGGCCGCTTCATTTCAAAATTTCTCAGGCTCTGCTTGGGTGCCCTGCCCGATTGTGATGAGGTGCTGCCACCCTCCATTTGGTTCATCCTGGCATCTGGGCTCAAATGCTCTGAACAGCAGATTCTTTGGCTACTTGTATTAAGGCCAGTCAGGCAGTCGCGTGGACGCTGAAGGCTGCGAGATGCTGCGAGCAAGATGAGTTCCTTCATTTTTCTCATGTTCCGGAATTCTTTTAAGCACCCCGCGTGTATGTTTTTTTTCTCATCGCCTGCTTTCTGTTGATTGTAGCGGCCTGTGTGTGCCCTGAGCTTCCTAACAGGCCAAGTTTGACCGGAAGATGGCAGCATCTTGGCTCAGCGGGTGAATCCCAAAAGGTTTTCCTAAGGTACTAATCTGACTAATCGTTGCCCCCTAACACTAAAGGGCCCCCCCTTTATCGTATGGGGGCGGGTTTAATAGCAGTGGGAAAGCCACTAGTACAATAGCTGACCTCACATCCCATTGTAAGGTCTGGCAGAAGGCCAGCGGAGCATCGAAGCGACGAGCCAGGCACCTCCATCTTTACCTGGCATTTTTTTTTTCGGATCCAATTTTTTCTTTGAGGTCATTGTGTTTTAGAGTGACTATATCGTATATTATATAGGGATTATACTCCTATATTCCCCACTAGCAACCGGTAAGTTATTTGTATCTTCCGTAAGCCCCAAACTGCAAACCCTAAACCCAAGAGCCGACGGGATTTGAAAAAAGAGACACTAAATAGCAGTTTCCATTTTCTTTTTCATTATCCCACTATATAACCCCTATATCTATATACCCCCAATATACCCATTATTCCCTAACCCCTCTAAATCCCTATATACCCCCCATATACCCATTATTTCCTAGTATGCGTTTTGCCTTTGGAGCCGACGGTCCGTCAGGTTGCAAGCGTGAGCGGCCTGGAGTCCTCGAAGCAAAGGCCGCCCCTCGTCCGCTCTGGTTCAGGGCTTAGGGTTTTAGGGTTTAGGATTTAGGATGATTTAGGGTTTAGCGTTTAGGATTTAGGGTCTAGGGTGCAGGGTTTTGGGGTTCAGGGTTTAGGGTGCAGGGTTTAGAAGTAAGGGTTTAGCTTACTCTGAACAGGAATCGGGGATTTATCGTTTGCATTGTTGGTCTGTGTGCTGGTGGAGATGGAATGCTTAGTTGAAATGCAGTCCAAACGGCGTAGACTGCCGTATGACTTTCACGAGCTAGCCAACAAATGATTCAGATTTGTCCTCGGGGACTCATTGGGAACTCTGGGAGTACTTGAACAAGTTAAACCCCCCTGACATGCCCGCAGTTAATATTTCCTCACTCCCACAGTGACAAGCCCAAGAAGCACAGAAAACACCAAGAGTGAACATAGATTTGGAACCAGCGTGACCGAACTTGTGTTGGACAAAAACAGGGATCATGGATCGGTCGCTGCTCGTGTGCCCCGTGTTTCCCGGAGGACCTTCCGGACACCAGGAGTTCGAGGCAATTCAGAATTCAGAATCCGCAATGCAGGCGCATGTAACTGGGAGATTCAGACTCCAATGTTGAGTAAGGAGGTCTTGCGAGGTAGGAGGGTTTGGAAGTCTCAATTTTAGGAAGAGCTACGGAATTTATCTCCCGGTCGCGCTGTGGCATTTAGTCACTCATTTTCCTCCCTTTTGCTGGATTTTCTGCTTTGAAAGCACTGTAGTGGAGGTCCCTCCCAAGTCTGCTGTGTCAGTGACGTGCCTGAATTGTTGGACTAGGCAGTATCCAAGGGGCAGTCCCAGTATTATAGTGTAGCGACTCAAGGCACATGTTTGCAGAGACGGGACAAGTACTCGTACGGGCATTCTCGGAGGAGGGACTTTCTGCAGCTAGGTGTGCATGTGAGGGGCTTTCGAGCATCCTCGCTCACTGTTTGTGTGAGGGCTCGCTGTCTCAGCCTCAGCATGGACGTTGCCGAGAGCAAGTCGTCCAGGAACAGGGAAAGCCATGTCCGCCCAGACACCCGAGATACAGATCTGGAGTGCTTTCTGGGTGGCGCTCTGTTGAGCGGGATATGCGCTTTGAGATCCGCTTGCAATAGGGCTGTCAAAGCCCTGTGGGTCCTCATGTACAGAAGATCCCAGGAGCACCCGCTGTGCTAGGGACAGCAAGATGAGGCAAAGAACGCAGAGAAGTATTTCTGCAAAGTTGACTTGCAACAGCTGCTTAGGCAACGGGTATGATGTCTATTGCTGTCTGGGCTTCCGCGGCGTTAGTTGGACGCTGTGTGTAGTCTGGTTCAACGTCTGTGTGCAGCTCTGCAGAGTTCCGCTGTGGCGAAGCACTGCGCTCATGCCTCGTGGCAGAGGCTTTGCTTCGTAGACCATGCAGTGTATCGGTCTCCGGACCGGAAGAGGTGAACAAGCAGGGATGGTGGTGAAGGATTTGACTCTCAGCCCCACTTCCAAGAGTCTGCACCATCATCCCTCAATACCCAGCAGTTGATTCTTATAGAGGGATGATCGCGTCCATGCCGTCGAGCTTACCAGCCAGATGGCACAGTCTCAGAGCCAAGCTTGCCGTATGCTTCTGAGCTACGCAACCTGAAGAAGTGCAAGGCTGACCATTTGGTGCTTGGAAGGGGTTCATGGCGCCCTTGGGCCACACCGACCAAGTCAAAACCGTGGCAGCTTTGCCGTAGCAGAAGTCTTCCAGAGCGCATAGTCAAGATAATGATGCTCTCTTATTCGGAGAAGCTTTTGACACCTTAATGCACTTTGAAATCGTTTTGACACCATGTCACCCCACACGCGAAAAGCTGGCTCTGATGAGGCTGACATCTGGCCTGAAGCAGAGACATGTCATCGTTGCTGGAGACTTTGTGTGGAGCTAGGCTAGGCTCCAAAAACGCAAGGCCTATGATGTCAGCCTTAAGTTGCGTTGCCTGCATCTCAAACAGACAGTGTAGGCGATATGTAGCAAAACGAGGGCATGGGAGGGAGTGCTCTTCGGCTTTCTCTTGCGGCATGGTGGGCTAACGCACAGACGCGCTCTGTCACGGCTCATCCATCCTCCTTTTGTCTCCACCACCGTTCAGCACGCTGAGGACTCACTCCTCCGGCTCTTTGCCGAGTTCGACTTTGATGAGCTGGGACCTCATTACATGCATGTGTGGCACGGCACTCCAAGACTAGATGCCATTCTTGCGTATCCAATGGTGAACACTGTGCACGTCGACCCGCCGCAGAAGCGCAACGTCTGTCAGTGCTCGGCCCAGGGCCAAGCTGGCTACACGAGGTTGGCCCCAGGGCCAGGCCTTTCAGGGCTTGGCGTCCAACTGGCTGCTCGGAAAACTGCGGCGTTCGGAAAGTTCAACCATCGTATCAACAGAAGCAAAGCTACAAACTAAGCAGCAAGAGCCACCCTCTTCCCCGCAGACGTCTGGATTTTTGGAGCCTCCGGAAACTGAGACGCAACAAAGATCGAATTGTGGAATAACAATCACCGCCGGCTGGGTCAGTGAAAATGGTTCCAAAACACCTCTGCTAGTCAGTTGCTGTGCAAGATTTTGGTAGTTTAGTCTAATTGGTAGAAGGCCGGGTAGCTGAACACCTTCGAGACGTTGATTCGTAGAGTGGAGCTTGGGCTATGGTGAGAATGGACCTACTTGCTGTTACCACCGTCCAGCAAAGGGCAGACAAGTGGCAAAAGCAAAGCTCGGACTGCTGAAGCTGCGTGTATAGATCACAGAAAGCGTGGTAGCGGGCCCAAGACATGAGGAAAGGAGGAAGTGGGATGTAGCAGGAATGCAAGCAACAAATTGTGGAGGCCGGCCTGCCGCCAAGCAGGGTTGCAGCAAAACAAAGATTGCGGGGCACATGTATGGGACAGGCGTGACCAGGGGAGGTTCACCGTAAAAAACTCTGAATGCCTTCCAGCTGAGAGCTTGCAGAGGTGAAGCTGTTATTGTAGATGGGAAGTTTGTTTTCTGCAGATGCTGGAGGTCGGGACACCTGTCAGTGGTGGAGCTGGAGCGTCTATTGACCGCAATGAATGGTGGCAAGCCCGTCGGAAGCTAAGGGCTTGGGGCTTTCACCTCACAAGGGCCCACATGCGCTCTGGCTGAACGCACCGTCCCTAGGTCCCACGCCATGAGGTGTACCGGGTCATGCAGGAAGCGGATACGCTGGGTGAGAGCTCTCAGACAGCTTTGCAAGAGCGAGCTCATCTGTTGTGGAAGCGAAAAGGCCAAGAAGAGGCCATAGCAGCAGATCCTTGTTGCTTACAGTAGCAGGCAATGTCTGATTAATCATTTTGCTTAGGTGACCGAGTAATCCACCGTGCTGAGCTTCTGGGAGCCATCTCCGCGTGGCCAGCCACACAGTCAAACACAGAACCTACAAAGACTCTCTAAAGTGTCTATAGCTGTCGCCCTGCCATGGCATCCTTACCTGAGATGTTGAGGTACGGCAACGTGGACCGCAAGGCCTCATGTCATACAGCTGTTGAAAGTGCTGTGCTCAAATCACGCCGCCTCCATACAGGACACCGACATTCCAAGCCTTCTGCGAGAGGCCCTGTCGCGGACCATCCAGGAAGCTGAGTGCACTGCCACATGGGACAGAAGCGGCTTCACACATTGTGTCCCATTTGCAAGGATTCTAATGCCTGCCCGTCTCGCTAACTCTCTGCATTTGGCTGAGTTTGACAGTGCCGGTGGTCTGTAGGAGTGTGGCAGCACTTGCTCATGGGATGTTTGATGATAGACATGGCATCTGAATGAGCACCAAGCCAGTTGACAACCTAGCATAGCCATTTGCAAACCGGCCTCATGACTTCGGGACTCCGCTCCCGACGATGCCTGGCCCTGGGAAACCTCTCAGTGGCCAAAAGGAGCCGAGTGAGCCAAATCTGTGCCAAATGTCGAGATAAAGCACCAGCTGGTTAGGAGCTTCCCTCTCCCGGGGATCTCTTTGCGTGACTATGACATCCAGGATGGCGCAGCAGTGGCTTTTGGAGTTCATATAGATTCAGATGTCGCAGTGCGTCGAGGAGCTGCTGGGCTTCGGCTCAGCAGGAAAGGTCTTCAAGGCCAAGCAGAAGAGAGACGACAAAGAGGTGGCCCTTAAGGTGATGCAGTGTTTGGACGAGGCTGGAACAGGCTGCTGACAGAGGTCCCCCTTCAACGGTAACTGTGTAACTGTCAAACGTGGCCCAGCTGCCAGGAGATGCTCCGTATCCGGTGTGGTGAGTTCAACGTGCTGCGAACTTTACGGCATCCACACATTGTCAATGTGCTCAACTTCTGGACGAGCGACAATCAGGCCGTCCTTGCAATGGAACTCCACAGCCAGAGCAATCTGCAGCAAGTAGTCCGGCGATCTTCTTCTCTGGACGAGTTGACTGCCAAGTCCCTTTTTCAGAGCCTTGTTCTCATTGAGAGTGATCTGTGCGTGATGTCCATGGTGAAGTGGTTGCCGTGTCTACACAATGCTCCGAGGATGCTGCTGGAAGCAGTGGACTTCCTGCACCAGAAGAGAGCCTGCTCTGCACTTCACTCTGCCCTTGCGGCTTTTGGATGTCGGCAGGTGCTGTGTAGCACAAAGCGCCTAGCCCGGGCCAGTTTCAAGACCATGGGACCTGCGGGATTTTGTACACGTCCTCACCGTTTGTTTCCTCTTTGGCACTTGTCTGTGTAGAGAAGGCTCGAAAGTACCTCTGATTTGGATACCTTCTGCAATTCAGCCCCTCACAGCTTCTGCATCGTGCGCAGGTAAAACTGTCCTAGGTGACCATAATTCTCAGATAAGAATGAGCCGTAGTTTTCTAAAACACGGCTAATGTTGTGCATAATCCTTGATACGAAGCTGTGTGGAAAGGAGGTCCATGCCAGGAAGCTCTTTGATGTGTTTTTGCAAGGAATTATCCACCGCGATGTGAAGCCAGAGAACATCCTTGTATCAGATGACATGAAGAGCCTGTGGCTTGCTGACTTCAACGCAGCCCATTCTCTGCTTGAAGGCAGACTGAGTGCACGTCAAGGTGTTGCATCTGCCTCATGCGTGTGCCATGGTACACTTCAAAGTTCAGAGTGACAGGAGGGGCCTTGAGTATGACCTTCACCGCGGAGTTTGCTGCTCCTGAGGCCTGCGCCCCCTTGTATGGTGAACGTCAAAGCCAGAGAAGGTTGTTTTTCCGTGTCATTTTTCGGACGGTCTCTGGCCCAAAAGCTGCCCTTGGTGAGGTCCTCCGCGGACAGACCCACGCTGAGGCCGCAGACGTTTGGAGCTGCGGGCTGCCGTTTGTCTGCAGTGTTTTTGATGGCCTTGTTGCTTTTTGCATAATTTCGTCCTTCTTCATACGCCTCCTTGCTTTCTGATTCTTGATTCTATCTTGCTGTCCATTGCCTGCTTTCCGCTTTTTGCTATGTGTCCTCCTTCACCTGCTTCCCTGTCCTCCGTGCTCCCAAGCCTTCCTTCTGCATTGCTACTGCTTGTCATATTCTTTTTTGCTATGTCAGAGCTGTCCTTGCTGCTATTCGCTTTCCATTTTTCTTCCTGCCCCTGCCTTGCTTCTGACTGTGGTGTTTCGATATTCGAAGGCTTTTTTGTGACCACTGCACTTGGTAGAGCCAGCGGTGCCATTATCATGCTGCTAGCTGTAGTTCTCCGCTACTGCCATTCTTCGTATTCCGAATATGAAGCACTCAACCCAGTAATTGTCTAGCGAACAAAGGTTGCATTTGCTGGAGGTACAGCCTGTCAAGAGCTCTGAGTATTGGAGGGGTTACATCTCCTGAAGAGCTGCAGATGATACTCCCACAGCCTGCCGTGTGTTGATTCTTGCAAAAAGCTGTAGGTGCTGTAACCTGCAGTATGGATAGTGTGTCAGCGTCAGATGCTGTCATGTATAGAGTTGTGAGCTTGCAAGGAGTGCAACTTTGTAATTTGTAGCTTGTTGTAGCCCATAGTACTGGTGTTGGGAAGCACAGTAACTCATTGACTCATTGGATCTCCTTGGCTGAGGTGCTTACACTACATGTTGGTTGGGGATCTTCCCCGGCGGCTTTCCAAGTTTTCGTGCAGGAGGGGCTCGGCACCAAGACTTTGCGGCAACAACTTGCCAGATACTCGTGGTCTCGTGGGGCCCATCCTCACTGCTGAAGCTGGCTGTGCCGTTGTTTTTAAACACCTCTACTGCACAGTGCCTCACGATTCGAGATGTCTGGTGAGATTTGGTTTGAGTAATACTGACAGCTGTGAATCCCATTGTGAGGAGCACTTTCATGGAGGCAGTTATGTCGCAGCCAATCACCTGCGATGGACGTGGCTGGACCACCTTTTCTTCCGAAGCTTGGATGAAGTACTGCCGAGATGTGCTAAGCCATATTGGCCAGTTCTTCTGGACCTGGGTGATCTTTACCTAGTTTGCGAGGGTGTGGCTGAGCAAGGCTACCTAAGACTTTGTTTCATCCTTACAGGTCTAAAGGCTTCTTTTGTTCTACCATGAAATCGCGTGCCAAGAGGCTGGATGCTGTGCAAGCTTCCAAACGTTTTCCGAACCAAACTGGCGAGCAATTGCTCAAACACTCATCAGGAGTGCCGGGACATGGTGAAGGAAAGCCTGTCCGTCAGTCGGCTGCGTTCATTCCTTCATCTTGAAGTGTTCAGAGCCACACCTTTGCACAACACATCCAGAATCTAGCATCGTATGCCAACGAGTCAGCCTTGGGAGACCAATACGACACAGCGCAAAGTACCTGAGGTGGAAGTCGAGCAGCGCCCGAGCGCAGGGGAGTTGCTCACCCGACCTTGGTTGAGTCGGTGCCTCAATTCCTTTCTTCTTGCTTCGAGCTGCTTCCAGCGTCTGTGTCGTCTGATTCTCCCAGGCAGTGATGACACATGGACCCTGTGAAGATTGCTGGAGCCTCTGCACAAGGCAAGCAAGAGCTTCCTCGAGCAAGAGCTGCCCCGAGTAAGAAACTCTCACTGCGGTAACGCGGTGTTCTAGCTGCCTTTGGTTCAAATTCCGGGGCTTTTCCACAGACTCTGCAGTGCTTCTGCAAGCTGTTCGCTTTTCTCCGTATTTCAACTGCTGCCACGCCGGATTGCCGTACTTGAGCCAGCTAGCTGCAAAAGGCGCAGCTCATGGGCTCTGGCAACGCAGCTGCCTTGATTTTACCAGACCTTCAGCCCTCTGATGACTTCGAGGGATTGAAACATTCACCATCCCAGTGCCTTTGCAGAACTTCCACAAGGAATTCTTGAGGTAGTGCGCAGGGGAGATTTCTGCTGCATGGCAGACACACGCTTGATGTATGTTTGGACATACGCTTGTGGCGATTATCATTGGAGGGATGAAGTAGCCAGTGCTGAGCCGTTTTTCTAGATTTTTTTTAGCGCACACGCCCGCATCATCTAGCTGATGCGCTTTCACTCCGGCGTTCCGGATCGTCTTGAAAGGAAGGTAGGAAATCAGGAGACCTTTTAACAGTGTATTGGCACTGATATGATGGAGAGATGGGCCTCTTTAAATGTGTTAATAAATGTTTTATGCACAGCATTCCGGCTTTTAGTCCACGAGCCACGATTCGCTGCCTGCGATGTACTTTACATGCATCCAGCATCGCTGCAGGTTGCCCTGACGGCTTCAGAAAAAGGATGCCCAACACAAGCGTTACGAGAAGACAATTGAGCCAGACTGAATCTGTCGCAGTTTTTTGCAGCCACAGCAACCTCACGAGCATCATGTTTGCTCTCTGGCAATGCATGCCTAAGGCAGCAAGTCATTGCTTCGTGATTATTCCACTGCTCCAATCTGAGCAGAATGGGCATTTTTCATGGAGAGGAATTCATCATACCTCGGCTGAATGCCAGGTGCTTTGCATGGAGTGTGTTTAATGCCAGAACGTTTAAGATGCTGACTGCTGCTCAGCTGCCTTGTTACGGTAAACCCGCGAACCCGTCATGCTGCTTCTGTCAGCACAGACTTTTCCAGAAGAAAGAAGTTGGATAAGGTTCAGGGTTGAACAAACAGGACGCCTTGCAGCCTGGTGCCATCTGGCGCCAAGAAATCCCTTGCTTTCTTTTTGCTGTTTCCTTTCACGGTGTGTTCCGCGCTGGATCGGCCAAAGAAGCTGAGTTGTCGTAGGGTCAGGTTGAAGGTTTGCAGAGTAGTAGTAGCAGTAGTAGGAGGAGGAGTAGGAGATGGAGCAGGAGTAGGAGTATATTGTACGTTGCGATGCAGCCCTCGAACCAAAGCAAAAGGCAAACGAAGCACACACTTCGAAACGTGGCTGCACCTGGTCACATTGTGATTCCTATCATCCCATTATTGTCATGCTTGAAAGTTTTTCTCCTCCTGCTTCAAATCTTCCTACTTGCGGGCAACATTGCACAAGCCATCCATACAGTACCCTCCTTCCGGTTGCTGATGTTCAAAGCAGGCATGTGTTCTGCCTACCCTTCTTGCCTTGCTATGAACCTTAAACTCAACCCCAAAAGGGATCCGCTGTTTTCAACACACCAAATGCAGCAGGACGCGGACTACGCAGGCGCTCTAGATCAGGGCCGAAGCACCTTCGGTCCGTCGCTCACGGGGTTCAGAGGGTGCTGATGTATGCCCCCCACATGCCATGTCCCATCGTGCAGAGAAGCTCCCCTTCTTGTTTAGGGCAACATGTGGTGATATTGCCGGTGGAGAATGCTGAGCTTTTGCAAAGCCATCAGCCTGGCCAAAAACTATTTTCGGCGAAAAAAGGATGTAGTAGCAAGCATAGGCTAACCCCACACCTCGCATCCTATACCCCCCTATGCTTTGACCCCAATTC